CAGAAATCTGTGGCTGCTTTCTGCTCCTGGTTCATGTTTCAACATGAAGTCCTGCAGCTCTGAGGAAGCAGAACATGAAGCAGAACATGAAGCAGAACAGGAAGCAGAACATGAAGCAGAACAGGAAGCAGAACATGAAGCAGAACATGAAGCAGGACATGAAGCAGAACATGGAGCAGAACATGAAGCAGGACATGAAGCAGGACAGACCTCAGAGACGTCTTTTGTCAGCAGGACATCGTTTGTTTTTCTTAATGAGCTCAGTGATGGAACTTGTTTTATATTTTCACTCACCAATAATCACGTAATCAGGTTTCATCTTTACTTCGGCCTCACTGTGTGAATAAAGCTGCTGCCAGCTGGTTGAAACAGTTTATCTCAGATAGAATCTAACATTCACAGATTCTGTTTTAAATGTCCACAGCTGGTGATAAAAACAATCAGCTGTCATCAGCGTTTAGCTGCTGTGTCACACAGACCATCAGTGGTTCTGCTCATCAGAACATCAGTCATGTGATTTTGACAACCAGCACTTGTGTGTATTTTGGTTTATTTTTGTCTGTGCTGCTGAAACACTGCACATGTGGGACTAATAACAGCTGATCTTTTATTATAACATCTGGTCTAAGCTGCCGGTATTTTTATTCATTCTATGAAACATGTCTTTATTCAACTAGTCTGTGCTGTTGTGGATTTATTGTATTTATTAGTTTGTTAGTTATTCTGCTGTGTTTGATCGTTGACATGATTTCTTGACCTTTACCTGTGAGGCTCTGTGAACAACCAGAGGCTGAAATAAACTGGTTTTCTTGCTGCGCTTGGATCGACCTTCTCAACAACATGTTAGTTTCCTCAAACACGTGCTGAATGGATTCAACAGAAGCTGTTTGGTGTGTTTACCTGCACAGACAGCTCCAGCATCCTGCTGGTGTCCGCATGCTGTCCCTCTGAAGCCTCGGCCCGAACACTGCCGCAGGTTCGTCATGTTGCTGAAGCATTCATCGGCCGCCACCACCGAGCCGCTGCCCTGTCCATACTGAGCGGCGCCGGGAGCATCCACGGCCCGTCCACACTCCAGAACATCACACACCGCCTCGGCTTTATCCACAGTCCAGTCTGCATCACAGACCGTGGACCAGGAGTCACCATGACGGACCTCCACCCGACCAGAACACTCGTCCTTACCGTTAGCCAGCCGGACCTCCAGACTCCCTGAGAAGGAACCAGACTGAAAACAAAGAACCACGAATGGAAGAACAACAACAGTCTACAGCAGCAGTGAGCACAACATTGATTCAACACCAGATGAACTGTATCACCTCTCAGTAATCAGATTACTTCTACCAGCAGAGTACTGTCTCTGATATCAGATTACAAACCACCAGTTCAGATCCATTGATTAACTTCAGGCTCCACAGCAGGAACTAAAGTGAGTCCATCTCTGGTTCCTTCAGTCTTTATCTGCTGACAGACTCAGTCCTCCTCAGTCCACTAAGTTCTGCTCACATGTTCTGATGGGGGAGACCAGAGTCCACTAAGGTCTTCTCCATGTGGAGCCATGATGCAGACATAGACACAGTCCAGAGGTCCAGAACTGAGAAGGTTCTGCTGTTCTCAGCTCGTTGTAGAACCATGTTCATGCAGGTGGACTGATGGAACCACAGCTGGACTCACTCCAGTTGCTCTGAGTTTCTGCTGTGTTTAGGATCTTTAGAAACAACGCTGAGAGATGAAACCGGTTCATTGGTGTCACACCTGACTCACTGCTGCTGCATTCTGTGAACTGAGCTGTTTACCTGTGCAGATGACTCCAGCTACTGAGGAGATGTTGCAGGTTTTATCTGTAAATGGTCTCTGAGGACACTGAGGCAGAGTCGATTCCATCCCATTACACTCGATCTGATCGATCCAGGTCGTCCCTGTTCCCTGACCGTACTCTGACATGGTGGTGATCTTATGAGCTCTTCCACAGTCCAGCTGTCTGCAGACCACCGATGCATCATTGATGTCCCACGATTCCCCACAAACGGTCCCCCACTGGCCGTTGTTGTAGAACTCCACTCTGCCAATACAGCGATTGGGCCCACTGGCCAACTTCACATTACCTGGAGAGGGCAGATGTTTGATCAACACAATAAGAATTCAGCTCCTGCAGGTGTCTTATCAAAATTCACTTTTTAAATCAGCCGCTCTGTGCCCTCCAGGTGTTTTAAAGGTGTTCTCCACATGTCCTGGCAGATCTACTCTCATCACTCTCTGGTGGTTCTGTCCTCAGGAGAAACGTTCTCCAGGATGAATCCGTTGTTGCTGACTACCTACTTATTGCTGTCACAGCTTTGGACTGGTGCAGTCTGATGGTCCGACTGATTTAGTGAAGGTTTACTGGGAGTCAAGCTAACGGACACCATGTCAGCGTCGTGTCCGTCACGTCTCTGTCCATGTGTGACATTCTATGTCTCGACTTTCCTGTTTGATTTTGAAATCACTTCACCGGGTGTTTCTGTTCCAGTTTTACTTCCTGTACCTGTTCCTGTCTCACCTGTTCCCTGATGACCTCCCCGTACCTGTTTCCCGCCCCCCCTCACTACCTCCTGTACATCACCTTGTGTGTCTCACTGTCTCGTCACCAGTTCGTTGCACTTCACGGTCCTCGTACCAGCGTTCACTCAAAGTCAAGTCACAGTCTGTTCGATCACGACCTTGATTCTGTTTTTGGACTTTGCCGGCTGATTTCCGGATGCTTTCGCCCGTGTGACTGACTACCTGTGTACCTGCTTTGACAGTAAACCTGCCTTTTTGCCTGAACCTGTCTGTGTGAGTGTTTGTGTCCACCTGTTCTGTTCGTGAGTTCATGACAGTCAGCTTCTAAAAAAGAGACAAAATAGCGACAGAGCTACAACTAAAAACACACAAACAACATAAAAACCCAGAAAGACGATAAAACTGACTTGAAGGAACAGAAAAAAACAAATGTTGAATCAGTGCAATCAGAGATCAAAACACCTTTTAGACGCTGAAGAATTACGAGAAGGAAAATGACAAAACAATAAGAAGTGAAGCAAAACAACCACAAAGACACAAAACGAGCAGAAAGACTCAGACTGAGCTGAGACAGAACCAGAACCTCCAGACTGACATTTAGCTCAAACTGATGGACAGGAAGTGGACTTTAAACTGAACAACCAGCAGTTTGTGTTTCAGCTCAACAACCAACATCTGGATCAGCTAGAAACAGCAGCTACCTGCTCTGGGTTTCATTCCTCAATAGTTCTGGTTCTGGACCAGCAGTTGATTTGTTCTCATGAATCCTCTGAATGAGCAGCTGCTCTGCTCTCAGAAGAAACCAGCAGGCTCCAGAGACTGCATCTGGTTCTTTTGGGTTATGTTTTTATTCAGGCTGATAATCTGCAGGTGGAATCACTCAGAGGAACATCTAGAACATCTGCTGAGAACCTGAGGCTTTTATTTTCCTGCTACTAATGGACTGGTTGAAAAGCAGCTGCTATTTGTCTTCTAAAAGATGTTAGCTACAGATCCAGTACTCAGCGCCACTGATGTCTTTTAAAACAGGAACAACTGATGTCAGATTGAATCAAACGCTCCGCTGTGATTGGCTGCTAGAGTCTGGAAGGTTAGACAGCAGCCAATCCGGCACCACCCAGAGGAAAAACTGTGTGCCAGAGATCTGACGTCATCTTTTGGTTTGTTTCAGTTTATGTCTCACCTGAGCACTGGACCGACGCCTCCTGGATGCGGCTGCCGGCTGGATATTCTCTGAGGCTGCACAGCGTCAGCGAGCTCTCTCTGCCGCTGCAGCTCACCTGGTAGCCTCTCCGGTCTTCACCTGCACCGAAGGAACCCGACACCTTCACCGCGTCTCCACAGTTCATCTCCCTGCAAACCACTGCAGCTTCGTTCATCCCCCAGTTCACACTGCTGGCGGCGGCCCAGTGTCCACCGTGGTGCAGCTCGACCCGACCCGAGCACTCGTCCGTCCCATTGATCAGTCTGATGGTGGCTGCAGGACGAAGCAAAGAACCAGCTGATTAATCATTGATTATTCTGAATGGTGGAAATAACAGTAATATTAGTCA